CCATTGTATGAAGTTGTTTTGGATTCCAACCAGTACGTTTTAAGTTATGCTCCGGACAAGGAAAATTATCAAAGGGCAGTAACTCTGTATTTTGTCAAAATGGAGTTATGGCTCTTGTGCACTGTACTTCCTTTGAATGTCCTTGACAACTGTATGAAGTTGTACTGAATTCCAAACAGTAGTTTTCAAGTTATGCTCTGGACAAGGAAAAGTAACAAAGGGCAATAACTCTGTAATTAGTCAAGATGAAGTTATGGTTCTTGTGCACTGCACTTCCCCTTATTGTGCTTGACCATTGAATGAAGTTGTTTTGAATTCGAACCAGTAGTTTTCAAGTCATGCTCTGGACAAGGAAAAGTAACAAAGGGCAGTAACTCTGTAATTAGTCAAGATGGAGTTATAGTTCTTATGCACTGCACTTCCTCTCAATGTGCTGGACCATTGTATGAAGTTTTAATGAATTCCAACAATAAGTTTTCCAGTTATAGTCCGCACAAAAGAAAGCAATGAAAAAGTAACAAAGGGCAATAACTCTGTAATTAGTCAAAAATGGAGTTATGGTTCTTGTGCACTGCACTTCCCCTTATTGTGCTTGACCATTGTATGAAGTTGTTTTGAATTCCAACCAGTAGTTTTAAAGTCATGCTCTGGACAAGGAAAAGAAACAAAGGGCAGTAACTCTGTAATAAGTCAAAATGGAGTTATGGTTCTTGTGCACTGCACTTCCTCTCAATGTGCTGGACCATTGTATGAAGTTATAATGAATTCCAACAATTAGTCTTCAAGTTATGGTCCGGACAAAAGAAAGCAATGGAAAAGTAATAAAGGGCAATAACTCTGTAATTACTTTAGATAGAGTTATGGTTCTTATGCACTGCACTTCCTCTCAATGTGCTTGACCATTGTATGTAGTTATATTGAATTCCAACCATTAGTCTTTAAGTTATGGTCCGGACAAAAAAAAGAAGGCAATGGAAAAGCAACAAAGGGCAATAACTCTGTAATTACTTGAGATAGAGTTATGGTTCTTGTGCACTGCACTTCCCCTTATTGTGTTTGACAATTGTATGAAGTTGTTTTGAATTCCAACCAGTAGTTTTCAAGTTATGCCACGGACAAGAAAAGTAACAAAGGGCAATAACTCTGTAATTAGTCAAGATAGAGTTATGTTTCTTACGCACTGCACTTCCTCTCAATGTGCTTGACCATTGTATGTAGTTATATTGAATTCCAACCATTAGTCTTCAAGTTATGCTCCGGACAAGAAAAATGCAACGGACAAAAAAAAAAGCAATGGAAAAGCAACAAAGGGCAATAACTCTGTAATTACTTTAGATAGAGTTATGGTTCTTGTGCACTGCACTTCCCCTTATTGTGTTTGACAATTGTATGAAGTTGTTTTGAATTCCAACCAGTAGTTTTCAAGTTATGCCCAGGACAAGGAAAAGTAACAAAGGGCAATAACTCTGTAATTAGTCATGATAGAGTTATGGTTCTTGTGCACTGCACTTCCTCTCAATGTGCTTGACCATTGTATGTAGTTATATTGAATTCCAACTATTAGTTTTCAAGTTATGCTCCGGACAAGGAAAATGCAACGGACGTCTGGACCGACCGACCGACCGACCGACCGACCGCCCGACCGACCAACCGACCGACCGACCACCGAGTGACTCCTATATACCCCCCCAAACTTCGTTTTTGGGGGTATAAAAAGGATCATCTTTTGGCAAAGACCAATGCACCTGTTAAGTTTGGGGACCATGAGGGACTATAGATTGTAAAGTTGTTGGTTGGATACTGTTTTAACATACAAGGTGAATGTGACCTTGACCCTTGATCCAAAAATAATAGGGTTCATCTACTGGCCACGGCCAATGGACCAAACGGCCCATGGGCTGTCCAATTATTGGTACCACTTTAGTATCACAGAAGGTCAAAATATATTTTGGAGAAGAAAAAGGCTAGCAAATTCATATAATTTTTATATTCAAAAATTCATGTTTGGTTTTAAATTATTCATTCACACTACATTATATAACTGTATTACATTATACAGGTTATGCAAGCAGATAAACCAGAAAGAAACAGTTGCGTCTGGAACTAAAGGAAGTCGAATTTTCTGTGACTTAAAATCTTATTTAGAAAAGTCCATCAAGTCTGCAAATCAGGAAAAAACATACAGAAATAACAACTTAAAAGATATGGCAGAGGAAACAAAACAAATCTTGGCTGATATCGATAAATATGAAGAGTGGTTAATTAAGAAGATAAGATATTTGGCTAATATATCCAGAGAAAATATCCTAAAAGCTCATGCAAAACATCAAGATGCAGTCAATGCTGATATTAAGGAACTAGACTCAGTTATGTCAGGATTGAAAAACAGTTTAAATCACATAAACAGAGATGACATGAATGAAGTGGAGGCCTTCATAACGATGAAGAACTGCCAGATAACTTTGAAGGAAGTGACGAAAGTAGTGGCAGATCTTTCTAACAATTGGCTGCAGACCTCCCTTTTTTACAAGATGAATGATAAAGTCATAGCTCAAGAAATCACAGCATTTGGAGAAGTTGTTGAAGAAACAAAGAAAAGTCCTGTATTTCATCTTCAACTCAACCAATCAATTTATATTGCATGCCAAACTGACACTAACAAGTGCAGTATAAATGAAATATGTCAACTGCCCGATGATACTGTGGTAATCACAGATGCCAATAATTCCAAGCTTAAAAGATTACGAGATAATTTAGAGGTGAAAGATTATATTGATTTAAATGATACCCCAGAATGTATGTGTGTTACAAAACCAGATGAGGTTGCCATTGTACTAAGGAAAAGAAAACAGGTTCAGTTTGTAACCATTAATGAACACATTACTTTAGAGTCATCATTTCCTATAGTAGAAGGAAAATGCACCAAGATTGATTCTGGCCCAACAGAAAATACAGTGTATGTTTGTTGTATGGTTGAATGCAAAATGAAATTGTCAGAAAAGAAAATGCTCCTTTCCCATACCAAAAGGATGGCACACAAATATCATATTATTGTTTACAATAAAAAAGGGGAATGTTTATCAATATATAACAATGAGGAAGTTCCAAGTCAACATTTTCGTGAGCCATTGAAGATACTTAGCAGTTTAAATACTTTTGATATAATTGATGCAGATACTAGCAAATATACATTTAGTAAGACAAATATGAAACAAAAACCAACCAGTACAAGCTATAGCTCTTATGATTTAAGATATGACTATTTTTCTGATGCAAGATATGTCTGTATGCTGTCTGCAGAGAAGATCATATTTGTACACAAGAATGGAGAAATGTCTCTGAAATCATTACATGGGGGACAGCAACAAAAACTTAAAATAGAAGATTCATCACCTGTGCTAGCAGTACTTTTCAACAAGAAAAAGTCTACATTGATTGTTGCAAGGGAGTCATGTCAAATCAAAGAATACAAAATGGGCCCAAAGATACTATATCTTCTTAAAGAATAAACAAAAAGAGACACTGAAATAGATGCAAAAATGTTGTAACTGTTTAGAAATTTAAGGCATTGTTATTAAGACAAAATCATATGATAAAATCTCTGTCAAACAACAGACATGCACTCACCAGCCTAGTGATTGATTCTTGTATCAGTACAACACTAGAACTATACAATCTAGTTATAAAATGTATTTTTTCATGACAATGAACCAGGAATTATATACACCTCAAAAAATTCTTATTTGCCACTATATACAATGTAATTATCAATCAATAAATCTATATAGCATATTATTTAAATATGGTACACACTTACCTATTGATTAAATAAAAGACAAGAAATGTTGAATGTCCTTGACTCACATTATTTGTAATTTTTTATAGAAACTTGCCATAAATGGGTACATGGAAGTGTTCAGTAATGGAAAAAAGAAAAATAAAGACCTACTTGTTATAACCAATCAACATGTGAAATTAAAAGACCTTGACCTTAGAAATAGTGACCCCATTATGACTAATAAATACAATGCATGTGAAATATGAAGACTTTGTGATAAAAGTTTTCAAGATAATGAGTGGGAACCATTCTAACAGTTCAGGCCCCTGTGACCATGACCTTTGACCCAGTTACCCAAAATTCAATAGGGGTCATCTATTAGATGTGACTAATCACTTTGTGAAATATCTTCACTATATTTTTTTTATCAAGTGACCCAAAATGAGCACATTGTTTTATTTCAGTTGTTTTTCTGATTTTTGTGCAGATTTTAATGCATGTTTCATTGTTTTGATCATACTTCAGCTATAAGTTCACCTAACCAATGAGATATCTAACCAATTTCTCCACATGTGACCAACTACTAATGTCACCTGATTTTTGAATCATGGTGAGAGAAAAAATGACCATTATAAAAGACTCCATGTCAATGATCAATTGTCATGGAGAAATAATGCCTTGCCTAATAATTGAACCATCATCCACTAGATTTCTAACCTTCTACATGAATTTAGCTAAGCGGACTGATTTGACCCCCCTCTCCCCACAAAAAATATATATACTTACTACTAACTGATCTAACTGATTTAAATTTCAAACAGGTATATTAATGTATAGTTACATGCATTTACCCCATAATAAGATTGAAATTTACATCTTAACAAAAACTATATTTAACATAATAATGTTGAAATTTACATCTAAACTAAAACTGCATTTACCATGTAGTGTTGAAATTTACATCTATTTAAACTGAATTTGCATAAACTACATGTACTTGGATCTTAAAACTCTTTACTAGAACTGCATTTAATAGCACATAATTTTGAAATCAACATATTCATTAAAACTAAACTTAACACATAAAGCTAAAATTAACATCTTTGAAGAAACTGCACTTAACACAATTATTATAATGCATTCTAAACTCATTTATAAAGTCTGTTCTTACTAAATAACATTGCCACCCATGCATCAAATAAAATTCCGAATATACACTCACCATTAAAGGACACCGGAACAACGTAGATTAGCCAGGAATTAGCTACAACCAGGGTAACAGTGCCAACAACCATCAGAACACGGTCCGGAAATCTTTTACTAAGCCATGTTACAAGACCAAACACTATTATTACCTATTAATGGGGAAAATAATGTATGATGTTATTTTGTTATGATAGGTTATTAAGTGTTAATGGAAAAAGTCTACAGAAATGTATAAATAATTATGTTATATCAAACAGATAATAATCATCATTATACATAAAATAAGTTTACGAATACTAATTTAAAGCTGACCAACCACTGTACAGAGGAGTCATCATTATCACTAGCATTCTCAAAGAGAACACACATTTTCATGTTTGCCAATATCACAAAACAACAATCTGTACTGGGAGAAAAAAAGTAAGTTAATCAGTAGGTTATGTTACTGCAATTATTTTCAAGCTACACCTCACCACAAATAATTAAAACCTGCTTTTTCTTACCTCTACACCGGCTAAACAGTAAAAAATGCTATTTTCCAACTCTCCCCAGTTTAACAGCCGCAATGATAATGGCGTGACCATAGTCTGGAAACAAACATAACAAAATTCTATGATTTAGTTAAAGTCAGAATGACACTCTTAGAATATAGGCTGACATTTCATGTTAAATGGTTAAATACCTAAGAGATTCTCCTTTTGCTCTCTTACTGGAAAGGGGAAGAGATCTTAACATCTCCTTCTTATCATTTGATATGCATATTTACTGGGTATGAAATATCAATTTCAATATTCTAATGTGCAAGTTTACATGGGAGGAAATCTCAAACGCTACTCCAATCTTTTAGTGGCCTGGCACAGACAAACAAACAGACAGACCAAAAAGAATATGCCCCTAAGATTAATTTTGCGGTCCTGATGTGAAAAAATTATTCAAGGTTATAACATAAAAAAAGAATAATCAGACATTTTTATCAATAATCTCTACTTTTAAACTTTTTTTTACATGGTACAAACACAGTAGAGGCTCATGACACCTTAAAATTCCAGCTTTATTGGTGGAGGAAGGCTTCAGGTGCCCCTCTGCATTATTTCAAGCACAAACGGGCAACTGAGTAGAACCAACAACATTATGTTAGCTAGCTAGATAGCTTCCTTACATGAAAGAATCCAAGGTCCCTGCCAGGATTCCAACCTACAGCAGTGAGGGGCAAGTGCTGTGAAGTAAACAACCTTAACCACTTGGCCATGAATAACCCTATCTCGAAATTCATCTGAATGGTGTCAATCATACATATAAAATAAATACCTCTAATGCAAGTTGATTAAAGTAGCTGTTAAACTGGACAGCTATAACTGCAACTATTTCCTCTCTCACATACTCTGTAAAATAACAAAATTGAGCCGCGTCACGACAAAACCAACATAGTGCGTTTGCGACCAGCATGGATCCAGTTCAGCCTGCGCATCTGCGCAGTCTGATCAGGATCCATGCTGTTCGTTGTCAGTTTCTCCACTTGTAATAGAGTTGGTAAGCGAACAGCATGGATACTGATCAGACTGCGCGGATGCGCAGGCTGGTCTGGATCCATGCTGGTCGCAAACGCACTGCATTGGTTTTGTTGTGTCGCGTCTCAAATAACTAACACATTTCTAATATATCACAGCCACCTCAGTTTCATATTCTAAATTATTGTCTATTTCAATTTGCTTTTGCTTGGGACCCCAATTATTATGATACTTTTAAGATCATATAAGAATTTTGGGATATACATGAGAATATAGCCTGAACGAGATAAATATGACCTGAGGTGCTTCTGGCTATATTTTTTTTATTCCGGCTATTTTCAACCATATATCCTGTCAGCAACTTGTATAACTAATAAAATAAATCTTACCTATATATAACAATAAACATAAACGGTTAATTATAACCATATTTTCACCATGAAGATTGATAAGGACCAATGGTTACCTTGTATCACTCAACGTGATACATAAAAAAAAAATACAGAACTTAACCATATAAATCTCACCATGATAAATAAAACGGTTAAATTAATAATAATCATATATCTCTAATACATTAAAAGAACCAAATACAACTATATATCAATCACCATGATAAATGAAGAGACAAAATCATTAACCATGTATCACTTGGCATCTACAAGTAAAACTTAAACATACATGATTCACCATTATCAATGAAGAAATACAAAATATGTACCACTCACCATGATAAATAAACTTTAATTTTGATTTTCCAGCTAAGTAATCTACGAGACTATCTTCTGTGCTATTTATATACTCTTGACTACCCAGATGACAACGGTCTTCAACTGGTGTTGTCAGGCTTCCATCAAATGTCCCATAATCCGTCTCCATGCCAACAATTGCATTAGCACTAGCACTTCTTTGACCTATTGACCCATTTAATGAAATTTTGCTGCTACTAGCACCAAGATTTGGAGTAAGAGATCTAACTTTTCTACGACCTTCACTCATAAAATCCTCAGCAGTTTCTATAAGGTCGTCAGGGTCATTTACATGTGACCTTGAACTTGCACTGCTATTTATAGATTTTCTGTCATTACGTTCGGATCCAAGTTCTTTATATATATCCTCATCATAGTCTGTTCTATTAAGAGTTGTATACTGATCTTCTAGAGGTCGTACCATACGACCTTGACCTGGTGACACTACAGATTTTTCTTTCTGAGCAAATTTGTCCAGTTCAGTATATAAGAAAGCTAGAATAAAAACTTGTATTGTCCACACACATGCCATAAATGCCTGCAATACAATCAAACGTTATTTGTATTCATTCTGAACTTTTTAAAATTTTTTTATCATTTTGGGAAGATGTGTTACACCAATAATGCTTAGACTGCTGGAATAACAAGAGCTATAGGTAGGACTGATTGCTCAACTTTTCTCAGTGCTTGATAGTAAAACTAGAGCCTGTTCAAAAAGGGCCATATTCTGCCAAGATCAATGTAAGAACAATGGGCATTCGACAGTGGCCTATTATGCTTTAATGTTTCAACTCATACCCTTCAGTAGTTATGGAGATACCAACTTGCACGGAAAAAACAACCAAAGTGTGATGCAGACGACACCCACAACAACACCTGGGTGAGTACAATAGCTCTTTAGCTTGCAGCTTTCTACTCAACCCTTTTTTGTATCTGATTTGTAATTATATTGGGTATATATTTTTGACTGAAATGAAATATTGTTGAAACTTAACTAAAAACTAAAGAATGACAATTCAATTTATTGTTTTATATTTACAAGTATGGATTTTACTTGCCCAACAATGAGAGAATGTTCTTGAGGAGTATATATTGTTTCACAACAGTTACAATTGAATTAAACAGGTGGCATCAATTATCTTCTTTCTCAAACAAAGTTGGACATAAATCTACCGTGGACAGAGTTTTGGCTGTTGGTTTCACTGTACTTAATGAAAAAATCCATACAAATAACAAAATAACTTACCCCAGGCACATTGTATTTGTTAATATTAAAACCATCAACATAGAAATCTATTTCCCTGAGAAACAGGTTCAACCCTGGACCTGCAAAGATAAGATCTCATTAACACATATGCTATTGTCTTATCAAATTCACCTGATTATTTTTTCTTTTTTGGTTCAGATCACCATAACATGAAATTTATGTGTATTTGAGTTCATTTATAAATGACACTAGTTGCCCATATGGGCAAGTCCTCCAGAAAAGAATTAGTCATTTAAGATTTTGGAGGATAGTGCCACCTCGGTGGTCGAGGGGTTAGAGTCTATGACTTCTAATCCAGTTACCTCTCTGGTGTGGGTTCGATCCCCGGGAGATGCTTTGGTAGTTTATCGCGAAGGAAAGTTGTCTAGTACTGGTGTAACTCTCCAGGAACGAAGGTTAGGAAACTACCCACCCATATGACTGAAATACTGTTGGAAAAAGGCGTACAATGAAACAAACAAACAAACAAAACAAAAGCAAGATACAGATACAGAAAAATGACCCAGGTCCAGAAGTTTCTCATGGTTCTTAAACATGCCAAGTGTTTAAGCACTCATTCACTGGACCTTGATTTATAGTCTCATCCGAAAGACTGATTAGTAATTTCAATTGGCCAGCCCTGGAATAGAACCCACAATGTAGAGATGACAAGTCTCACGTTTTAACCGTTTGAGCTATGCAGGCTGGCAAGTTGGAATATACAAACCTTGCAATAAATAGCATTAGGGATTATTTATTAGTCATGATCAAACTTCTCTCCAATTTTTATAATAATATGACTAAGTCTTACTCTTTTACATAACTATTTACTTCAATAATTTGAAGAAATAAGATGATAATTTTTATATTTAGCACACTAAAGTCTTCAAATCTGAATTTATAATACATAAATAAGATCCCATGTACTTGTTAAAGCGGCCTTGAATGAAATTAATACCTCTCTTGATGATGTCTTAGGAAGGCTAACAGTGTTATGATGCACTTTTCAAAGATAAAATTGCTGAATTACTTAGTTTGTAACTACACAGAATTGTTTTTCCTCAAGAAAATAATAGCTTAAGGCTGCTTTGAGCACAAACATCACTATGTAGAAAGAATAATTTTACCAACAAGAAGCCCCATTTGTCTAATAGCAATCAGTTTAGAAATTATTCCAGTTCTCTTGCTCTCTTCTGATGATCGTGTAATCTCCGCCATTATAACAGCCTCCGCCCCACCTCCTATACCTGGCCAAAGAAAAAACATACTTTCTTAAATCATATTAACACAATAAATGATAGGAGCCACTGTAAGCAAATGAAAGAATATTTCTAAGGAGCTCCACTGTAGTTAAGAACCCTAATAACATAAAATATGAAATTCTTACATAGATCAAAATAAAAGCACTTAAAATAGAGAAATATCTGTGAAAGATATTAAAGAAATATACTCAATACTTATATTGAAAATTAATTTTTTCACATATTTTAGCCCCGTTTGAGTGGGAAGTATTGCATTGCTTTTCATTTTTTGGGCATTTTGCACAATGAAAATAATTATTCCGGAAAAGAGCAGTGAAGTAATGATATGGAATTTTGCTGTTCATTTGCTGAATTTGTTTCTATAACAAATAGAATGCTCTCCACTGTTTTGAGAGAAGTGGGTGGACGACTTTATAATGGTAGCTTAGACTTGAAAATGAAATAAACACAAACGTTATTTTGAAATAGGTTAAAGAAATATATGTGTATGTCTACACTAAAACTTCAAATTACCTGCAACAAGACGACTTGCCAGAAGAAACCACACCGAGATGCCCATAAAATACATTATGTTACCAGCAATTTGAAATAATGTTCCCAGTGCTAGTATAATTTTTGGTTTCCTGCTCTTGTCCGACCATCTGTATATGATAGAAAATATCTCATATTATTTCAATTTTCACCAAGAGTACCGCATGCCATGTTAAGACTCGTCTTAAAAAAAACAAAGTTAAAAAGGGGAAAAAACTTTTAAAAAATCTTTCAGAATTACAATTGCATCTCCCCATCATTAGCAGGTACTTCAAGTTTTATGTTGATTACTTTAATCAATTTAAAATAAAATACAAACTTCAATCTATTTTTGTTTATCGGCCATACTGGTCAAGTAAAGCGCTTTACAGATAGTAATGTTTCCAAATAATTGAACAAAAATAAATATTTTTACACGCTAGAGGTGCATGGGCAAATATTTTATTAAACATCTGTCTCATTTAAACGCTTGCATTTGAATTAGCCAATCAGATTTCGTGCACCATGTGATGGCCATTTGTTTAGTAACAGCTGTGTAAGGAATTTAATTAAATAAGAGGATTTAATCATGATTTTTCGGATGTGACAGTTAAATTATTTTGTTGAAAAGTATTTATTTTTTACCTTTGTTTATAATTAGGTCAAAATCAATGGCTTTATACCAGTCTGCGAAATAAGGCACAGGCCCGAAGCCCGAGGCTGGTAAAATCCAATTCGGGCCTGCAAAAATCCAAAGATTGTAAGCCTGACGGGCCTTTAAATTCAGAATGTGTTTTCATATAAAATTAGTTTCATTTTTTCCGAAATAATTGTGAAGTACTTCATCATAATATGTACTTCCAATAAGATTTGCATAATGCATGTATGTCAATCGTTTATAAATGCATTACAATCATCTACAGCTATTGGTTCGAAAATTTAACAAAGTTGGTAAACAGGAAGTGGATGTCGAGTGAAATTGAATCCCACAGTATGAGACCATGCGTTAATGCTGTACAGTAAAGACTGTCTTAGTGACCCCTTGTATATAGCGACGTTCTGTCTTTAGTGACCATAGTTAGGTGCGCCGAACAGTTTTTACTATATATACTGGTTGGGGAGATAACTTCGGCTGGTTGATAAACTCGGCTTTTTATAATTAAATCGAGTTATCGGAATTTTTAATTTAATCAAGCTCACCATCTCATACTATCGCTGGAATTCGACAATATCTGGAAATTTTGTCAAGTTTGGGAACATATTTAAAAAATAACACAGACTTTTACCCACAGGCGCTAGTCACATAATCAAATATTTTACATAACCGGTCTATATATGTATATAAAGATACATAGGCGCTAGTCACATAATCAAATATTTTACATAACCGGTCTATATATGTATATAAAGATACACAGGCGCTAGTCACATAATCAAATATTTTACATAACCGGTCTATATATGTATATAAAGATATCTTTATATACATATATAGACCGGTTATGTAAAATATGTGTGACTAGCGCCTGTGCTTTTACCTGTTTGTTTACAAAACATGCCTATAAAAAGTACGGGAAACCCATTGTTGTGCGCATGTGCAGCAGATGCTCATTTTGAGGTCCGCACAGGGGTACTTTTATATATTGACCGGCTACCGGTAAAGCAGACGACGTTTACTGTATATGTAGATGAAATTCAGACTCACTTTTGTCTTGCTAACTCAGAAAAAAGGCTGATTACACAATTTTAATCTTTAAGTGGAATGGATTGAAAAACTGGTGTCAAATGCTCCTTTTATATATTAATGTGTAGGTTGAATATCACAAAATTAATTTTTTCTTCACTCTGTTAAGCTGAGCAAAAATAAATTTGAATCACTTTTAAATTCTTTAACTACATATTTCGTTACACGTTAATAAATGATAATGCATGTGTTTTTACGTTAAAATGGTTTATATGTTACATAGTACGTTGCATATAAACATCGTGTTATCATAGATATTCATTATACTAACGTAATGCTCAACAATTTTGGTAACAAATATTTTTTATTTGACATAAATGAACAGCAAAGGAATAATAAAATGTCTAAACATGTTATTTTACGTTTTCACTTACTCATTTAAGAAGAAAAGCAAAGAGCCGGAATTATCTACTCGCACGCGTTAAAAATATCCTTTTTACTTACCTCTTCCAGGGCCTCTCAAAATAACCCGTTATGTTTCTAAATATAACTTTTATGGTGATACCGGAAAATCGAAGAGCTGAAGTTTATTATGGTGCAAGATTCATCAGAATACGTAAACAAATAAATGCAAAGTACCCCCAAAACACTGATTTTCGGCCGAGTTTATCTCCCAAACCAGTAAATTTTCTGTAAGTAGCGACTCCCTGTCTAGTCTGTACAACGATCATGATTTAGTCATCCATGAGCCGTGCAATGCAACTTTTGCAAGGGGAGCAGGGCTTGAGCTAGGGGGCGACTTGGGCGAAGAAGTCGCCTTCGGATCAGGGACTTCGCCTAAAACAAACTTCAAAGCGATTTTGAAGTTGCCCGATTTTTTGTTAATGATCTGTCATACTTATTTACGCCACTAGGTCTGTTAACAATTTGTTAACCTCTCACTTACAACCAATTACCATTAATCCGCTAGTTAATACGCGTGTCAGCATCAAACAAAGTCTAATACACGCAAGACAAGAGTTCACTATGTATATCTCTCTCATTATGTATTCATGTAATTGACGAATCAGAACGCGCGTTGTTTCTACGGCAGTTTGCATTGACCAACCGGCGACACACTAATACACTGTTGCTGTTTGTTGACAATTACACAAAATGGCAATAGATTCAATCAATTTTCGCCGATTGCATAATTAAAGACACCTACATATACATAATTGCTGCGGTGTTTTGGCGAGTAAAAATAAACAATGCCGAACGTCTTAAAGGTGTGTTTATGTTCGAAAACTCGATTGTTAAATTTTTTTTTGAGCATTAATCTGTAGAAATTACGTGAAGATTTGTATCTAATGTTTTATCAATACATTGATTTTCGTCAAGTAAAAATACTGATTATACAAAATTAAATGTCTCTAACATTCTGGCTTGTGCGCAAATTGCTAAACAAAAATTATAGACGATGACCAGCCTGACTCATTGCCAATATGGCAAGTGGCACTGCTCTCTCTGCCCTGAATATTGTTACCAGCTTAACATACTCACTACCTGTATACAGTATATGTAAATAGTATATGTAAATATTGTGTTTGCTATTGTTATACATGGATGAAAAGTAGATTTATAGTAGAATTGTTTTATTTGAGGTGTTTCTTATTTCTTTTCTTGTTTATTCCTAGCTTATAATTCTCAAGATGACACCTAATAAATCTCCCAACTTCTCCCTAAAGCCTCGATTATATCCGAATTATGTAGAGACTGTCCACAGTGACTCCCTGTCTATAATAAACTTTTTTCTTTTCTCCCATCGAAGGTCACTGTATACAGTTTTTACTGTATATTAAATATCAAGAGGCTGTCATAATTATAAGTAGTTGCTGAGAAAACTCTTATGAAAATGTTTCCCCGCCTGTCCACTGCCGGACGTTCACCTTACTATAACCCCGGTTTACACCTGTGCAACCCAGCCGAAAAAAATCAGCAGAATTTAATCATGGAAGCATTTAATCATACCTTCCCAAAATAGGTCCAGATATGATTGCAGCAAAACTGTATGCAGAAAGAAGTAAACCAAGCATGTATTCTTGGGCACCAAAGTCTGTCTTTAAATACAGCCACAGTGTTGGTAAAATCACAGCTATGAAATATAAAAAGGAGAATAGCTATTAAATATAAAAAAGAGAATAGTGTGAATATCAGGCACACACAGGATCTGAACCCCGAGCGTCTGTGATATCAGGGGCATAACAATGCATAAGTCAAATTAATTTAATTGACTCAAAATAATTTACTAAAACACCAGTACTGAAAACCTCTTAATGGGGTTAAATACTATTTATTACTTTTTAGCAAACTAGAAATCTGTCAACAGTTTTAAAGACTTTGAGACTGAGAAGAAGAGACTGAGAGTGCAATTTCCGCGTACAAAAATGCAAAATCTGTAATTTTGGAGACGTTGAACTCAATGACAACAGCATTTAAATATCAATTACCATATTCTACACCGCCTATAAAGTAAAATAAACCAAGTGTTATGTAGGAAAGACGCTTCTTCCATTTATTTTCCATTTTTCTTGATATTCTTACTGTACGCGGAAATATGTGACACTTTTACCGGAAAAGTGTAGCTAATTTCCAGAACAGGGCGGTCCTGTTAAAAAGTCGTCACATTCCGGACATCCGAAAACCTTTTATTTGGTCAGGGTATCGCATGGTAAAATTATGCCAGAAACACAATAATAAATAATAATATTTTTGATAGAGCAAGCAGACACGTTAAACACAAAAGAATGATAATAATTTATTCACTTCATTAATAACTTATCAAACTGAACTAGATAAGATAATTCCATTAGAACAGAAAGTCACCTGATGTATCAAATCCTTTCACAGAATAATATTACAGTGACCTAGCTATAACTGCTTAAACAACAAGTATGAAATACAACAAATCCGCATAGAAGAAAGAAACACGAGACCCTCCAAATATAATATATTATAACAATTTATACTGAAAAGCTCATTACTATGTTAATAACAAGTATACACTTTACAGATAGAGCAGACATTATGTACATAAACTTTAACAATACAAGGATCGATCGAGGCAAATTAAAAACATTATAAACAGTGCAAATGAAAAATAACAAAACAGCAAAAATTAAAAACAACACTAGGGTGGGTGGGAGTGGCAAATTTTGAAAAAGCGTCTAATCTCAAACGTGTCTGACAGAACTGTTACAAGAATGGCGCGAAAACTATCTATTTAATTATAAGCACTGGCGTAGTAATACCTTTAACGTGTCATAATATCATTAAACCTATAACCTTACAAAATAACCAATCAAAAGGTCTGTTAAATTCCATAATTAAAAGATATATATACATACAAACATTAAAACAGCAAGCCATTTAAAACCCTTCACCGTAAAGACTCACGAAAAAGGTAAATTATAACCATCAACAATCTATAAACTTAAGATTAATTTTTAAAAGTTATATGGAACATTTGAAGGCGTATAGCTTTAATTTAAAAAAAGACAAACATAAAAAAGCAACTACAAACACTGTACAATAAATATACATTGAAATATAACATTGTGATATCAGACAAACAACAACCCAAACAAGAACAAGCTAGGGTAACGTCTATAGTTACCATTACCACTTGTCCAGAAGCCCTTAAAGAAGTACAACACCTCCTTTAAAAGGAAGGCCACAAACTACATATTATATCAATGAACTATATATACACACAAGAAAACACAAGTTATACCCCTAAAAGCAACAGTAGCTATTGATCAATTCAATAAACACAGAAAAATATATAATATTTTTGTATAAATAACACATCTGCACCACTTGCTGTCCAAAATTTTTTTACCTGGTTTACATAGCAAATTTACCCTTAAGTAAATGTGAAACAGTGTGAATGAAGAAGTTACGTAAACGACGAGTTCCTTCAAAATTTTAATGTAATTCACCATCTCTGACTGCAAACAAATTAGAAATTGGCTCACCGACATGAAAAAAACGGACGGAATGAATGAACAAATTGACATTTACGTTCCTTACATTTAGCCTCTAACCTTTGGTTAACTAATTTGACTTTAACACTTGTTTGAGAATAATCGGCAGGCCTGGGCAGAATGCTAGAGAAAATAATGTGTGTAGGAAAAATATCACGAATGACTCTGATCAAATTGTTGAAATAACTGATAATTGATCTACAGACAATTTATCATTAGAGTTTATATCATTAGTACCAACATGAATAATAGTAAAATGTTTTTCACCAAAGAATGATCCCGCTGAATCTTAGAAGTCAAGCGAACCAGATTGATGCCCGGGAGAGCATAAACTTTTGAATTCCATCTACAAACTTAGCGATGGAATCCGATAAAATGTGAACTTGCACAGTCATCTGTAAATAGAAAAATCAAGAGCTATAAAAATTATATTGTCTCGAACAATTTTGATAAATTTGAAAAAGCGTCTAATCTCAAACGTGTCTGACAAAACTGTAACAAGAATTGCGCCAAAACTATCTATTTTTAAGCACTAGCGTAGTAATATAATTTAACCTTTAACGTGTCATAATATTATTTAACCTATAACCTTACAAAATAACCAATCAAAAGGTCTGTTAAATTACACAATTAAAAGATTTCATTCGTAAACAAAATGCTTCACATGGCTGAAAAAAATGCAGGGAAAACCGTGTGATATTCAATTTATACATGAGGAGATTGGATGAAAATGGGGTATTTTTAAGTATAAAAACCAATTTAGAAACTTGAAACTTGAAAACTTGATTTAACGCCTATTTCTACATATAGAATACATATTCAATGGCGTTTTACAGCTATATACCTTATATGTGCTACTCCCAGTGCTACCATAGAAAGTAACACTAAAATTGTTTTCTGAAGTAAATGAAATATTTCATGAGTCTCTATGATAATTTTGACTTGGGTATTTGCATTTATAAAAGTGTATGTCAGTCCTGTAATCACCAGAAAATTTCAACGAAATGGGGGGGGGGAGGGGGATGGGTGTAGTCCTCTTAGAAGTAATTTTGCAAAAAATTTGGTTGGCTACCCCTATATAACAGGAACATTTTTTATGTGTTAGGCATTTCATTCTGCTAGAAAAATCACCTCTTTAGCATGAAACTCAATTTTAGGTATGATTATCATTAGGGACCATTTCTTATAATGCAAGTCTATGGGAATATCAATGTGAGTGTCTGACCATATGGTGAATTAGATTGTTCCCTGCGCACATCTCTATAATCAATCTCATACGCAGTGATCTCCCCTTATCAGTACAGATATCTCTGCCACCACGGTTCGATCACACAACCTTCTATGGTTTTAATTTTTTTACAAAAATATATATATTATGTACATGTATATAAAATACTTCGTTATATACATAATATAAAATCTTTTTAAAAGAAATTAAAATCACAGAAGGTTGTGGAACCGAGTGCCTATCTGGGTTCGATATATCAGCATTTCTGATAATTTATATCTTTTAGCTTTTGAATTTAATTTTCATTATTTTGTCAATTTTTGATAATGTTTTGATGAACTATATAACGGACGTAAGTACGAAAAGTTAAAAATAAAACAGAAAGAGAAAAATGACATTAGACTTTCTATATGACGGTCGATATTTACATTTGAATTTCGACGTTACGTCATGTGACTTTCATGATCATGTGACGTCTGCGAAGAGGCAATGATTGCATTCTGTAAAAGGAGGTAATCACTGTGAGGAGTTTGTTCTACAAGAAGAAGCATGCGAGAGGTCTTTTTGCTGCTGTGGAAGATTTTTTAATTCGAAAAAAATTGGAAAATAGGGCCTATTTTTGCATACAAAACACAATGAATGTTTATATATCACAATTATTTAACAAAAAAGAATTATTTATATATATTGAATATAGTATCAATAATAATGAAAGTTTGTTTTACACCTCATTTTTAAAAAAAAAAAAATGTTTTGAATGATTATACATGTATGCCGGAGAAATGGACTTTTTTTCTTGGGGCATTATAAGGATACTTTTCTAAAAGGGAACAATTTATGCTATGTCATCAAACTAAATTTAAAATAATGATATACACATGTGTCTTGAGGGGTGAAGTTTCCTCAAAATTCGAGATGTGAAGTGTCTTGTTCCCTATAATATTTACCAAGTGACTTCTGAGTGTACAATATTAAAATAAAAAAGTAAAAACATAAATAAAAAATAAACATTAACACAAGACTTAACAGAACTTAAATGTAAACTTTTGCTGTAACAAAACTTTGTAAATGGTCGTCATTGCTGTCAGCCATTTTACCTGGCGCCCCTTTTTACCATAATATAAGATGTATATCCGTTTTGCATAAAATCGGCAGCCATATTGGAGCCATCTTGGATTCTGAAGCGTTGTGAAAGCAAAATTGTGTACGATTCGGATTTTTTGTAAAGAAGAGACTATAATACTTGTTCTGGTGTAAGTTTCGGATATTGCCAAAATTTCTGATTAAATCGCTTCTGGCTCTTAGGCTATCTACAAGCATATTAAAATGTGCAACAACGGCGAGCGCCCGCTTGATTTTACACGTTTATGTACATCTGCGCGCATTTTATTTTTTATTTTCAATTTGATTTATCTTTAATAACTAAAGTAATGTAGAAATATGACTGCTATAATGTTCGTACGCATTAAGAAGCGTTTTATATCAAAGGCTTAATTACTTCACTTGCCTTTAGGAGTAAAATTATGTGTATTTGATGCAAAATATTGACACTTGTATTATAACATTCATTATTATGCTTTAGAATAGAAGAATTCATTAAGTATTGTATCATATATATTATAAGCAAAAACGCTATTTAAATTTGCCGTAGCTTTCGGCCTTGCGGCCTTCTTCAGCAGCATTTATTTCACATACAAATATATCAAACAAAACAATGGAAGTGACGTAACGTCAATGAACGACGCCCGCCGTGGCGTTGGTTGCCGTCTGCCGCGTTATTCTTTTGTATTAACTCCATACGGTCTATAGGTTCTTAATTTATTTTTCCACAAATTTTCTATTGTTTTTCTGTATTGGTCATTACCGTATAGCTTTTCCAGCCCCATTATCGAAAAATCTTTAACTGTGTGGTCATTCGTGTAAAAATGCGCCGCTAACGGATCGTTGTACTTGGTTCGTATTCTGGATAAATTTAGAAGGTGTCTTTGGTACAACGTATCCCCTGTTTCTCCAACATAAATATAACGTTCGCAACGCTTACAATAAACTGCATACACAACATTCGTAGATTTGCACGTGATCTGATTTCGAACCTTATACGGGGCCCCGTTCACACCAATGAATGTGTCTGCTTCAATAACGTACGGACAAATCGCACACTTTTTGGATCTGCAAGGAGCACAGGAATTCGGCTGTTGAAAAAATAGTTTATTGTGTTTCTTATGAACGAGAATGTCTTGTAGGTTATTATCTCTTCTAAATGCCGCAATTGGTGGATTCGGGAATATTTCCTTCATTCTATCTGAGGAGTGTAATTCAGGTAGGTGTTTTCGTACTATTTGTCCTACATTCGGGAGCGCTCTGGAAAATGTCAGTACCAAGGGGATTCTTTCAGTGTTTTCTTTATCTTCATTATACTGTAATAGGTCACTTCTTTTCTTACTATCTACTTTATTTAATTCTGTTTCAATATGTCGATCTTCATAGCCTCGTTTCTGTAACTGAGTTTTAATATTTTCTCTATGTTGTTTGTAAGTCGATTCATTAGTACATATTCGCTTAGCACGGAGGGCAAGTCCATATGGTATTGATTTTTTTGTCGATTCCGGATGAGACGAATTTTTATGCAAGTACAGGTTTATCTGTGGGTTTAGTGTATAGGTCTGTTATTAAAATGCCATTCTGAATCTTCGTCATTACGTCGAGAAACTCAAGTTTTGCAGCTGAATATCTTAATTCTAATTTTATTCTTGGATGAAGGTTATTCCCAAGGTCATGGAATGTTTTTAACGACTCGATACCGTGCGTCCAAAGGCCCCAAACGTCATCAACATACCGGAAATACTCAAGCGGAAGTTTATCTGTTATCGTCATCAGCTGTGATTCCCATGATCCAAGATATGTAGATGCGTAATTCATCCCTAATCGTGAGCCAATCGCTGTTCCTTCTGTCTGCGTAAATTTTCTTCCATCAAATGAAATAGTGTTATTTTCAAGGACAGTGTCCATCATATTAAGAACATCTTCTGTGGGTATGTTAGGGTTGGCACGTTGATTTAATGCACGTGCAAATATAAATCTGTGATATATTATATCACTTAAAAAACGCTAATATTGTATCATATATCATCTGAATAAACCACATATTTTATGATATTGTTGAAATTATCTCGATTTACTTACATAATACAAATATATGTACGCAAGAAACGTTTTCTTAAAAGAAGTAATTTATAACATGTTCTTTTATTAAAAAAGTCAAAAAGTCATCTCATAGAATAATTGATGATTAATATAAAAAAAGATGTGTTTATTTAGGTCGAAACTTCCTATTTTGTCATTTTTTCTTTTACGCAATATTGGTTATTAAATCACAAAAATGATTCGTTTATAATAAAGAAGATATCAATACGCAGACACAGGTGTTGCCATAGGATAATAGCGCAATAAAGAATTGGAAGATAATAATTTTCACAATAATACACATCTTTCTGAAAACGAAACATAGAGATGCGATGAAAATAGAGTATATATATATCTTTATGGTTTATATATAAAATTGTATCTTAGCTAAACCAGTTGTTTATGAACCAGGATAAAACTAAGTGTAAAGCAAAATATATTTTTTTATGATAGAATCATAATAAGATATACCTTTTGTCTTTTTTATCTTAAAAAAACTAAGCTTCGAAGCTTTCCTCATTCTCTTGTGAATTTTTCAAAATTCTTTCAATTTCTTGGATCAAAAAGGTTTTAATGTTTTACTTATTCCAGTCTTTGTAAGCACATTATGTGTTGAAAATTGAATACCGCTTAAGCCGATGCTGGGAGTGGGGTTGACGGATGTTGCACTTTTCCATTATCCCTCACGGCTCAGTCAAACCGTGTCTGAAATTTTCATACATTTTTGCTGTATTTTTATAAGGTAAGTTTGTCACGTAAGTTTAGCATATCTATGTACTGTTAATTAAAGTTTATTTTTAACGGTCAAGCTAATTGGTTTACAGTTATCATATGATTGAAGTGTTTTGAAGTTCATGATGTAAACATCCTGTATTTGTTCCTGAAAATGTTTAAAAACTATTTTACAGTCATGCATTTATTCAACTTCATATAACGATTTCGTGCTAAATTAAGCCGGGACAAGAGGTATGGACGATAAGAGTGTGTTTCCTTATTATATTTTTTTTCGAATTGCTTTCCAGACAAACTCTTGTAAGTCTGTTCTGAACACCTTGGGAAATGGTCAGATTGCAAAGGAAATAATTTGATAATCTGCTAAGACATTTTAATTTTATTGTATCACTACGCTGCAGTAAGAAAGCTGGACACATGTACGTTCCTCACACGCCAGGAAGGAGTTTAAGTCACCGCCTGGATTTAAACCAACAGAAGTGATTAATTAATCAGTGATTCGGAATCAGCAACCTTAGGCACTTGGCCACAGAGACCTCTCGCATTTAAGTTAACTCATTAAAACTTAATTATCGACCCAAACACCAGATTTCAGATCGTACTTTTAAAACTATTAATACGATTTAGCATCACGCTACAATTAATGGATATTTTTGTCATGGGAATAAACAAACGGAATAATTTACGACAAATTCTAAAAACTCTATTCTGGATTATTATGCGAACAATTATATCTCACAAACACGTTCTAATCTTTACTGTTGGCACTTAAATTGAATAATTTTAGTAAAATCAATGCATTCTGGCTTAATATTTCTTAACACATTTTGATTCTCGTCGTTTTGATATAAACATGCTTTTTTGGAATTTTAATGCAAGGTATATAAGTCATTCTTCGCTTTTTCATATTTTAAGCATGTATTACATTATCATATTTTATGTACTTTAAACTTTTAAAATACTTTCATTTTTGTTTTTTGTCATACAACTTTGATATTTGAAAATAGAATATAAACTTAAAATAGCAAAAAGGGAATGGACAGACTGATTCGTCCTTTCATGTAATATAGGCATTTCTTTTAAAAAAAGTTTAAAATGAATGTTTGCATCGTTATGCGCTTAGGTAACTTACTTAAATAATTTACTTCTAACATTTTTAATCATTATTTGGACTATGATATTAGTTTTGTTTGTATTCATTGTGATAATTTCAAAAGAAGAATGGGTGATCATGAGGATGAAATATGCAATATAGAATTCTTACAGTAAAATTAACATTTTTTTAGAAATAATTGCGATCTATTTAGACATACTTTGTATCATCAATAAAGCGTCTATTTTCTTTTTTACAGAAATATGCAGATAATATATATAAAATGGTGCTTTTCACATTGAATTTGATGATTACGTGAACCATTTGTGTTTCTAAGGTCACCTTTAGATATATGACACAACTATTGCCTAGCTAAACGTTCATTATATATTATTAACAATAAATGTTAAAAAAAGAAATAATAATATTTACATTTGGATCAACTGTTAAAAATGGAAAGAATTAAAATTGATGTATGTGGACAAATTTACAACGTTTCAAAACAAGTAATAGAAACTGGTCCTCAATCTCGTTTAAAGAGAATCTACAATTCAGAATCCAAAGGGTCAAAGTCGAGTTGTATCATTATAAATCGCACGCCAGAAAGTTTTGCCGCCATTTTGGCGTTTTATCAAAATGGAGAGTTACACATACCGACGACGTCATGTCCGGGTGCGTTCATGTCAGAATTGGAGTATTGGGAGATTTCACCGGACGCCTTGTCAGAGTGTTGTTACAACAGGTAATCTTTAAATTTGATCTGTACGTATCGATATATACAGTCAGAATGCCTAAAACGTGTCATAATAAGAATATAGAATTATAATTAGCTTGCAATTTAAATTTGTGAATTTACATTAAAAATTTCAAAAAAGGAAAGAAATTAACTTATCTACACATATCTTACAAATAAAATTCTTTAAAAGGAGACACTTTTTGATTTCAGCATTAAAGTAATAACGGATAAAAATCTGAAACTCTTTTAACTATATTATCAATTCAATAAAAGAATTGATAAGGCTTCACGAATTATCAAAGCTTAAAGCACATTAAAATATTTATGTATCGCCATTTCGAAGTTTTGGTATGAATTTATGTTTACATGACGACAATCGATAACAAGTACAAATACTCTAGATTACAGAAATTCCTTGACAAACAAGAAACTCTAAGGACATTTAAACAGAAATATGTGAGGAGCAAACAAAGCACCACAGTATCTCCAAAGTCCATTGGTTGTTTACACAGAATCCGAACTAATATTTGGGACACCATCAACTATACAAGACCTTCTGTCCTCGGCAAGGTATATAAAGTATTTAATGAGTTGAATGAAATGTTTCTATCATTTCAGCTTTAAAAACTCACGTAATGGTTTTTTTGTTGTTGTTTTATTCAATGAACAATTTAAATAAAAGCAAAAATATACTTCTTTATACTTCTTTAAGATATCATAGTATTTGATTTTTTATATACTGCGAATTCACTTATATTCGTGGGCATGAAAGATCGTGGTTTTATCAAAACGGGCATTTTCGTGGGTTCTTAAATTCGTGGATTTTCGTTTTCTTGTTAAAAAAAATTCAGTAATCTAATGCAAAGTAATCTTAATCGCCGAACATTTTTACTGACTGTGTACATTTACATGCATATAAATTATTCTCGGTAAGTAACACGAGTATATGTGGATCTTGTAAAAGTCGGTGGCGTCTTTGATGTTTACGGAATAGCATTCGCACAAATACTGATTAAAATTCATATAAACTGGAGCATTTAAAAACAACAAAAGAAAGAACAATAAATCTGTTTTAGCGATCGTATTTTTTATAGTTTTGTGTACTTACGACATTAACATCAAATACTTTTTTTTTAATTAATAAGAGCAAACTGACAATTTCTATTAGCGCTAATTATTGCACTGCCTGGGTTCCCATATTTACTCGATTATGTCAAGTATTCTTGTTAACACAATCAAGTCCTAGTAGACTACAACGATCAAGTATGTATATGCGACATTTGTGACAGTAAATTGAGGACATATAATCGAGTTTCTTTCAAGTTTCTTAAATATTGCAAACGGATTTAATATGTCAATAACCTGGCTATCTGTCTGGACTTTCATCCATTTCATGAAATATCGACCGGAAAAGAGCCGACGCATGTTTGTAATATATAGAACAGAGACAGGGTAAGAAGTATTTGTTGGGATTAAAGTTCGTCGGATCTTAAATTCGTGGATTGACCTACCCACAAAAACCACGAAAATTCGTGCCCCACGAATAAAAATGATTTTACAGTATATATTTCTCTTATAATTATTACATTTACACCCAAATGTTCACGATTTTGATTTAAATTCTGATTAGTGTTGGTAATTTTTGTCCATTTATGTTATACTAGAAGTTCATCTACATTACCTTGTCCGTAAAGTTCTATTTTTGTATACATGAAAATAAGTTTAAAGCACATTGTCATAATAGCATCTGCTTATACAAATGATTTAGCAACTTTAATCATCTTTTACATTAAAGGAACGATTGCAAACGTCAAAATGATTTTTTGTAAATATCACTTATATTTAAAGTGCATTAGACAATATTTTAATACATAATTATATTGATATCACATATTTCAGGTTTACCTATTCGTATCATTTCTAATGGTCCTAACATCCATATTTGTCCTGGCATATAGTACACACTCATCGTTCCACAGGGAAATGACCAACTGCGAGAGACTACAGTACATCGACACAACCGACATTGACGGCTATGAGTTTATTAAACCATACTTGGAAGGGTTATGTACACTAGGTGATGTGCCTGAATTGTCACAAAGTCTGATCAAAAGACTGAACTTGAGTGACGTCGGAAATTTTTCAGTTGTTCAGAAAAATGAAGATGTAGAAGGTGATTTCAAAACTTTCATGTTCACCCTTATCCATAAACAGATAACTGAGATAAATGAAAGGGATGAATCTGAAAATGCTGAGATACCTTATCCAGATTGGCTAGACGACTTTTGGTTTAATAACGATACAACTTTCGAAGATTTTTATGAACCACCACATTTGAAGGTTGGCCATCATGAAGTAAAACCGATTCCACTAGCTGAGGCTTTTACTCTGCAAAAAGATGTTTCAATTCCAAACGTTAAAATTAAAATGTATATACTTATCATTTTAGAGGGTTTGACAACCATTTTTTTCTCTCTAGAAATTTTGTTACGCCTCTCTACATGTCCAAATATCAAGGTATATTTCTTATCAGTGATTGATTGCTCAGACGCATTGTCTCTTCTGGGTTCCTATCTTTATTTCTGTCTTTATTTGACAGTCCCTCACTTACGATACGGAAGTTGGATTGATTATTTGGCTTATTTACAGACATTAAGGTCTTTGCGTTTCTTTCGCTTGGTTCTGAATATGAGAGCTGGAATCGTTCTGGCGTATTCTGTTCGTAGACATATTAAGGATCTGGTCATTTTGTTATTGTTTGTGTTTGCTGGAATGTGCACTTTTGGAACATGCATTTACATAGCAGAAGATAACGCAAAAATAGAAAGCATACCAGACGCTTGGTATTTGTCCATCGTAACCATGACAACGGTTGGTTACGGTGACATTTATCCTGAAACAAAAGTTGGTAGATTCATTTGTTGTCTGTGCGCCGTCGCTGGCGTAATATTGCTTGCTCTGACTGTTCCAATGTTTACAAATCATTTCCAAATGCTATATAACCATATTGAAACTGAAAATGTCATAGAAAAGTACAAGCAAAAGAAAGATGATAATAAAGCACTTGCTACGAAAACAAAATAAGACTTAAGTTTATGAAGAAACAGGAAACCACATAATAGTCAACACTTACTTAAAATGAATTTATTATAGTATGGTTCAACCTGAGTTGTTGATTAAATCGTAAATATTGTGCTTTTGTCGGTCATATATATTTTAATTCAATTTGGTATCATCTAAATTTAACGTAAATTAAAGTGGTAGATACGAAAACATCAGAAATGTATTCAAAAGAATTTCAAAAAGCGTGTTTTTATTTATCAAATACATAAACAAATGTCTATTTAAGACAACCATTGTTATAAACATATTAAAGATATTTATATGGAAAAGGTAGATGTTTTTGTTTTATAACATCAATTTTTGTAGACAATGGTTTTTTTTATGTAACTATTATTTTTTTTAATATTGTCATAATTGAGTGCCCACATACTTCGGGTGTAAATACAACCTCTGACAATCACGTCGTGAAATCGAATCCTTAGCTCAATAAACTAGAGCGTTGTTACTTTTGCTTATAACCGGGAAGTCTAAAGATCCAATCGCCGGCACGGTGGGGTTTTATCTTATGCATTTACATCTTTCTGTTACAAACTGAAAACGTTCGTAAGAATATGCGATGCTGAGTTTCCTAAGTAATAAATTGTAAAGTTATTTTCGCCTATGTTCGACCTCAGAAAAGTGGATGAACATGAAAACGGTTCCGAAGGCTTCATGTAATGGTTTCTTGTTAAAATTTGCTTCTCCTCAAACCTGTCTACTCACACTTGTTTATGGTAAACCCTTTGAAAACTCACAACATGATAGTTTTAATTTGATAGCAAGGTTGATAGCAGGGAAACCCTGAATGATACGGACACGGACTTTGTACTGAACGTAATGAAATACATGCATATAGAAAGTATGTTACTGATGTTTAAAAAAATTATGATAGACATGTCATCTATCATTTTAATTCAATTCGTTTTATTTTTTGACCTTTGAAACCTTTTCACGTATCAGTTTAATTCAATTCGTTTTAGTACTTGATTTTTAAAGCCGTGTCATGTATCATTTTAATTCAATTCGTTTTAGTATTTGATTTTTGAAGCCTTCTCATGTATCAGTTCAACTCAATTCGTTTTAGTTTTTGATTTTTGAAGCCTTCTAGTGTATCAGTTCAATTCAATTCGTTTTAGTTTTTGATTTTTATAGCCATGTCATGTATCATTTTAATTCAATTCGCTTTTGTATTTGATTTTTGAAGCCTTGTCATTTATCATTTTAATTCAATTCGTTTTAGTATTAGTTTTTGATGCCATGTCATGTATCAATTTAATTCAATTTTATATTTTGTATTTGATTTCTGAAGCCTTCTCATGTATCAGTTCAATTCAATTATTTTTAGTTTTTAACCTTTGAAGCCTTGTCATGTATCTTTTTAATTCAATTCGTTTTAGTACTTGATCTTTGATGCCCTGTCATGTATCATTTTAATTCAATTTGATTTAGTATTTGATTATTGAAACCACGTCATATATCATTTTAATTCAATTCGTTTTACTATTTGACCTTTGAAGCCTTCTCGTGTATCAGTTAAATTCAATCTGTTTAAGTATTTGATTTTTGAAGTCTTCTCGTGTATCATATTAATTCAATTCGTTTTGGTGTTTGACTTTTGACGCCTTCTCGTGTATCAGTTAAATTCAATCCGTTTAAATATTTGATTTTTGAAGTCTTCTCGTGTATCATATTAATTTAATTCGTTTTGGTATTTGACTTTTAAAGCCTTGTCATGAATCAGTTAAATTAAATCCGTTTAAGTGTTTGATTTTTGAAGCCTTCTCGTGTATCAGTTCAATTCAATTACTTTTAGTATTTGATTTTGAAGCCTTCTCGTGTATCAGCTCAGATCAATTCGTTTTAGTTTTTGACTTTTGAAGCCTTGTGGTGTATCATTTTAATTCAATTCGTTTTAGTATTTGATTTTGAAGGCATGTCATGAATCATTTTAGTTCAATTCGTTTTAGTATTTGACCTTTGAAGCCTTCTCGTGTATCAATTAAATTCAATCCGTTTAAATATTTGATTTTTGAAGCCTTCTCGTGTATAAGATTAATTCAATTCGTTTTTGTTTTTGACTTTTGAAGCCTTGATATGTATCATTTTAATTCAATTTGATTTAGTATTTGAATTTTAAAGCCTTGTTATATATCATTTAAATTCACTTCGTTTCAGTATTTGACCTTTGAAGTGTTGTCATCTATCATTTAAATTCAATCCTTTAAAGTATTAAATTTTTGAAGTCTACTCGTGTATCATTTTAATTCAATTATTTTAGTATTTGACCTTTGAAGCCTTGTCATGTATCAGTTCAATTCAATTCGTTTTTGTATTTTATTTTTGAAGCCTTGTCATGTATTATTTTAATTTAATTCCTTTTTGTATTTGACTTTTGAAGCCTTATAGTGTATCATTTTAATGCAATTCTTTTCACTATTTTTTTTGTGTTTTATAATTTCAGTAGTTGATGAAGTATATTGTGTGAGTATTGATGACCTATTTTTGCCAAGTAAGACCATCATTTTGATTTCTAAATCACAACAAGTTCTCGATTATGATAAAATAAGCAATCACAGGTGTTAAGATCAAATAATAGCGGAATAAAATGTATGTTGATAATCAAGAACTTTAAATGTCAAACTTTTTAGAGACTGAAATGAGAAATATGATTGAATGATGTCTGCTAGAAAAGCACAACCCATAAACTTTTGTCATGAAAAAAATCTAATTGAATATTTGGACCACACATTTTCATTCAATCTTGGTATCAAAAATAATATGTTATGATAGGTTTTGATACAAGTAAAGGTTGATTTATGCAAAGCAATATTTCCCTTCTTAATCCGTAATATGGTAGTCCATACAAATGCCGGTGCAATGTTGCTATAAACCTTGTTTAATGAAAAACGCGGAATTCGGATGAATAGAAGCGTGGAACTGATAACGGTCGCTGATTGGCTTATCTTCAAGGGCCCTATCAGTTTGAATGGATAATCCCATGGGAATAAACTAATATCATAATTAATATTGTCTTCGGGTAAAAATCAAACGTATAACATCAAAACTTGATTGCTCCCATCTATATAAAATTAGTTCAGAAAATGTTTGACACTTTTTCTGTGTTCTCCGGTTGCAATTTATTAACGAAGAGGACTATTTACAATTACAAAGCTACAGAGTAATAAGATGAAAGCTTTTAACCTTGAAATCGGTGAGGTAGCAAACGGAATGTGTTTATAGGCATACCTTTGTAGAATCAGACATACCGAGGACGGCATGTCCTGGTGCGTTCATGTCAGACTTGGATTTCTAGGAAATCTCACTGAAAGCCTCTACAAAGTGTTGTTCTTATGATAGCAGGTAATCTATATTAGCAAATAATAAGATTTTTTGTATTAAAGAAACATTTAATTTAATGTTTCCATGAAAAGCATTAAAGCCTTAACATTGTCAAAATAAGAGTGAAATATCATATTTCTATAACATCGAAGCATAAGGCTACCTGATTTGTACGAATGGTGTAGCCACCGAGTATAAATCAGATTGCCGAGTATTTTGATTTTCTTTCTCTTTTGTATCATCAGCAAAAATTAAAACATGTTCCCTGTTGCCACAATATGAAACCCCAGAAAAAAGTATCCATCATATTGTTATTTGTGCAAAATGTTCAAGTTCCTTATTTACTCGTATATAAATATGTTTTGACCTTTAATTTGAAACCGTCGAGTCTTTGAGTCTCAGATATATAATTTGTTTGTCTCCCGTTTCAAGTTTTTACGGTGTGAAGACAAGTAAGCATTACAATAATTCCCTACAAATAGATTACAAAGATTTCTAGACAAACACGATATATCGAAACGTTCTTCTCTTTCAGGAGCTACTGGTTGTTTACAAAGATACCGATCCATCATTTGGGAAACCATCAATTATACAAGACCTTATGTCATCGCCAAGGTGAACATTATAATATTGTTACATTTGTGATAAAATATTAGTGCTGTAAAATAAAATTCTAAGAAATCGTATATTTTTCATTAATATGCCTTTAATATATTTCCCTTCAAAAAATTCATTTTCATATTTCATCTAGTATTAGCTATAGTGTGGAAAATTGTAATATGGCTAGGTGAGTTCTTATTCTTAATTTTTCAACTTTTGTTTTGAAAAAAAACATTGCCTTCAAAATTTTCACCTTGCAACTTCTAGTTTAGTACACTTTAAATGAATTTTTACCATTAATAAGGATATTGCCACAACAACGCCAATCGTAGAACATGATTTTTATATTAAATCTTTCATATTGTATACAGATATATTTGAATAGATATTAAAGAGGAAGCTAAGATATTTGTTCATATAGAAAATAATTGTAATGCTAACTTATCATCAAACTGTTAAAACTTGAAATTCTCCCATGACCACCAAATGGGAAAAACAAATTTCATAATTAATGAAAAGTTTCACATTTCAAACATACTACACATAGTAACAATATTTACATTCTAAACCTAAATTATTAGAATGGGAAATTCTCCAGAGGACCTCCAATATGAAAAAAATATTCATAATTAATGACAAATTTTAAAAGCTCCTTTGGGAATATCATATATAAAAGTACAACACATAGGTACATTTTGAATAATTGAATAACGAGGTGATTAAGATTGTAATCGTGTGTTTATAATAGCATTTCATTCATCTAATTCTTAAGTAAATAATTAAATAGGATAATTAAACAGACAAAGAACAGTGAGATCGGTTTAATTGAAACTATAATGTATTCAAGCTGACTTGAGTTCCATCAGTACTGGCTGATTAGTTAGATTCGTTTTCAACACAATCGTCCATATCAAATCTGATTCTTAGGACATTCACATGACTTTATTGTATAAGAACAAATATTTAAACGGAATATGCTCATATTGGTAATTACTTTTTCCACATATTCATAACGTAATTACTTTTATAATTTATCACATTCAAATACTGTTTTGTTGGTTTTATCGTATTAACATTATAAAATTAAAACAATGATATGAATTTACATTATTCGCGAAAACATAATAACAATTATGGAATTATTTAGCTACTAGGTAAATCTTACGTCCTTAATAAAACACTTTTTATATGTTTTTCCTGCTTATTCTTAACGTTGCACCAGACATTACTAATGTATTTGGATCTGTTAAGTCCTTTTTAAATAAAACTACCTATTTATCATATTTCATCTGAATAATAATTTATATGGAGTTTTAATCATTATCATGACTAGATACATTACTTTGAATTCAAATGTTCTATATGTTGTCTACCTATTTTTATGTAACATACTT